AGTTGACGTCAACTTAATAGTACGTTGGGTACGCCAAAAAAAACTGCACTTTTTGATTGGAATATGCCACTTTCTGTGGTAATAGTTAATACCAAGAGGCAACTTTGGAGATAGGGAGCCACTGGAAAATCCGTGCAGGAAACCAAAATGGTGGCCGTCAAAATGGTGCCATTAGCCGCAATATATTTTTTTGTATCTCTGCTCCTAATAGTCCGATTTTAATTTTCTTTTTTTTTTATTGAAAGCTCTTGTGACGAGGAAACTTTTTTGCTATATAACATTTATCTCTAAAACTTAAGAATTTAGCACAATTTTAAAAAAGTTGTTTTCTTTGCGAATTTGAGAATCACAAGTAAGCTCAACCCGATTTTTATGTGTAACTTGTTCACGTCAAATGTTCAATATGTAAGGATTTGTATTATTCAGCACAATTTTCTGAGGTCTGATGATGAATCGGTCTACACGATTCGAAGTCGATTAGCTAAAGAAATATTAAAATTCAATTATTTGAAAAACGAGTTTTATTGTATCAATTTGTATCGACAAATAATTCACTACGTCAAGAAAATAGCGGTTGCTATTTAAAAACAGTATGCCCCCTTTGACCGTGCAGAAGTATGCTACTGACCCCAAATTGAATGTACGTGGATTGGTAGCAAACTTTTTATAATTATGGATGTCATAAAAAGCTTCTTTAAAAAATGTTTTGAAGATAAAATTTTCACCCTGTATAAAAAGCATATCCGGGAAACGGTTAGCCTCGCGGTTAGCATTACGAAAAAAAACCGATAAGACCTACAAAAATAATTCTTTTGTTAAGGGATACCCGGTGATACCTATACAAAATATCAAAATGTAGATGCTGCCCTCGAGAACACCCTATATACCTAAAAATACGTTTTAGGCTTCCCCTCAGGCTTCTCGTACCAACAAACCGTTACCATTAATCTCAACCATTGAGGCTCTATCGTCCGCTTACAGAAGGTGGATTCCCTGTATAATAAAAATGATTCAACTTATATGAATAGGTATCTAAAACTTGAAAATCATAATATTCCGTTAATATTCTTAAAGAAACCCCGAGAGAAAAACCTCGAAAAAACCCATGATCTGATAAATAAGCACTCCAAATTTCACATTCGTCGTAGCTTAAACCAACTAGTTAAATAAAATAGGATAAGTAAGAGCGAGAGTAAGAGTTAAAGTCGATATACTGAGTGTTTCTTTAATTACTTTAAAAGCAGAGTGTATTTTCTGTTTTTCAGAGAAAAAAATTGACGAGGCTTTTCCGTTCAATTTTCATAATGCTTGATCTCGTGCCTGATGAAAGAAATATTGCGCATTTAAAAAAAAAACATGGCGGATTGAAATTTTCCGAACTTGCAGGGTAGATATAAGGAGTTTTGGGGTTGAATCGATTGAATTTCTAAAGGATGGTCTTTTTTGTCGAAAAGACCGGGATATTGCACAATTAACAGCTTACTTGTGATTCAAATTCGTAAAAAAACACTTTTTTTAAAATTGTGCTAAATCCTTAAGTTTTAGAGATAAATATTATATATCAAAAAAGTTTCCTTGCCACAAGAGCTTGGAATCAAAAAAAAGAAAATTAAAATCGGACTAGGAGCAGAGATACGAAAAAATATTATATTGCGGCTAATGGCGCCATTTTGACGGCCACCATTTTGGTTTCCTGCACGGATTTTCGAGTGGCTCCCTATCTCAAAAGTTGCCTTTTGGTATTAAGTATTACCACAGAAAGTGACATATTCCAATCAAAAAGTGCAGTATTTTCCCCATTCTAGCCATATACCCGACGTACTATAAAAATGGTAATCTTGGATAGAGATTGAGAAAGCGAGAGGTCACCACGACACTTTGTAAAATTTAACACCCTAATTAATACGCGTCTGCATTAATTTACACCATAAAAATATAAATTGTTACGTTGGTCGGAATTAGACAGTTAAAAACTTGAAGATTAAAAATCGATTCAGATTTTTGAGCACCTCAAAAATTCCAAAAATATAGTTTGATTTATATTTAGAGATTTTACCTTTAAGTTGATGTACGTGGTAATATTTGGGATGGCGTGAAATCACTGGGACACTGAAAGTTTTGTTTGTATGGAATTTCACCCCTTAATACCTACACCTTCAAAGTTAAAAAAAATGCAACTTTGAACCTCAACTTAACAGTTATAGTCTATTTATGTACTTTACAAAATCTTAAAGCATAAAAGAATGACTATGGCTTAAATTTAGAGCTTTTACCTGCAAGTTTGTGTAAAACAGAAAAGGTTGTTGAAAAGATAAAATATTGGACTAAAAATATTTAGACTTTAAAATTTGGTTTATGTAATTTAAGCAACCTCTGTATAAATTTCCACAAATTATTGCCATTGACATTCACAAAGGTACTCAGTATCATTAAAATTTAAGGGAAATGCAGTGCTAACTTGACAGTTGAGAAAAAAAGGGGGGGGCATTTTTTACCCCCACGTAATACCTCCCTTACGGGTGGTAAAGAAAGCTTAAAATTGATCAATTTCAGCCTTGAATGAAGTCACATTTTTAGATAGCTTGAAAATCTCAAAAAAGCGAACAAATGTGGACCCAATTTTCATTATAGACAGAGCTGGGCAGTATTCGATTTTGTAAATACTTTTTAGTATTCAAATACTTTGTAATTAAATAGTTTTATGGAAGCAGTATTTGCTTTTGTAACTCAAATACTTTCACAAATATTTAGTATTCGAATACTTCGCAAGGTATTTGAATACTTTGAGAAGTATTCGAATATTTCGCATAGTATTTTTTACCAAAAATCGACTGCACCAAAATTTCTCGGGAAAACACTTTTTCTTATTAATTTTGGTGCGTAGAATCCAAAACAATTCGTACTTTTTCGATCAGACTTCTCAATCAAAAGTTATAGACTAGAAACCAATTTCGAAAGAAAATTCAAAGGGCTGTAACTTTTGAACTAGTAGCCCAATCTTGGAACTGTTTGAAATTATGGATTCTACTGGCCACATTCTATAAGAAAATTTGTATGGTAATCGTGAAAAGGTAAAAAAATACAGATTTCAGATAACGAGAAATTACCAGAACACTTTTACAATTTGCGTTGTGTTAATTATTTCGTTATACTAGTAAACATTACGTTAGAATTGACGTAAAAGTAAGTTAAAATTAGGATGAATACCTACACGTGGAGTGTTCTTTGGTTCTTTCAACTACTTGGGCTTATTGCACCTTTCCCAAATCATCTCCCTACACTGAGCGAAAAAAAAGGTTACAGGAACGTATAAATAATTAAAACAACATTTTGTGAGAGTTATATATGAGCAATGCACTGAGCGTGTTCAATCAACAACATTTAAATGCTAACTCTGGTAAGTTATTTCAATAAATCTAAAACATTGCTTTAAGGGTGATTAAGGAGTTAACAACCAAGAATCTTGTACATTGGAAGAATCGAGTTGCGGTGACTCATCTAACAGTCTACGAGATTGGGAACAGATTTTTAAGATGTCAATTGAACAATCTTGAAATGTTATGATAAGTACTTTGTTTCTTGAAAAATTACGTTTAAATGATTTGATGTAATGAAATTATCTTATTGATTCAACATTTCTTGTTATTTGTAAGTACATTTATACAGTGTTCAGGGAAATATTGTGCATGTTGCACATACTTACTAGCACTGTTGATTCTACATCCAAAAATTTGTTACAGCAATAGTTTAGTGGATTGAATTTAGTTCACGAGACTTCGACCTTTTTGCAACTTGATTACCATTCTTCTAAAACTTTCTGTGCAGCTTCATTTTCACTACTCTACCAAGTTTTTTTTATGCACGAAAATTCTTGCAAATGCGGCGTTTGATACTACGCGTTTACAAAAGAGTTAGGAGTATTGGACCAAGAATATGGCGCACAAAATTAGTCGGACATGAACCATCTGATTTTAAAGACATTTAGATTTGAAAAAAAAAACAGTTGGTAGTAAAAATGCCAATGGCCGCTAATACACTTTTACTACCAATTGTTAGCTTTTTGAAAATTGTTAAATAAGTATATGTTTAGTCAGATAATGCATTGTCTGTGGGCTATATTCTTGGTCCAATCAACTCTTTTGTGAGTGCGTGGTAACAAACACCGCGTTTACAAAAATTTTCAAAAAAAAAAACTTGGTAGACTAATTAAAATGAAACCGCACTGAGAGTTTCAGAAGAGTGGTAATTAAGTTGCAAACAGATCGAGGTCCCGCGGACTGCTTAAGTTTCGGACCAAATTCTGAAAATCAAAATATCTCAGAAAACGTTGATTTGCATCCTTTGTGACAAAGAAGGCAACTATAGCAGCAGTTTCACTGAAATGACGTCGGGATATATACCTGCAAACAACTTTTACATTTACATCAATTTTTTGGGGTATATCCATACCCAAATTTTTAATATACTGAGTCTGTAATGAAACTCATTAGTTTCTTGTCAATCGTTTTATTAAAAAAAAAATAAAATTCACATGGTATGTAGAATTTAACTAAACTAAATAATTACATAATCTTTATGCTGTAATGCATATATTAAAGTGGGAAATTCACTGCTCAAACTATTTAATTCTTTACAAAATAAACTTTTACATTTCTTTACTTCAAATGCATTGTAATGTTCATCATACCTAACGGTGTCCATTTTCTTTAAGACAAAATAAACTTTATTCTCAGATCCTTTGAATATAATTGATTCAATATGCCCAAAAAATTCTTCCATTTCAAACTGAACAAAAATATGTAGACACCCTTACAGCACACGCACTGCACTGAGAGATAAATGGTAATGAACCGTTCCAATTCAATGGAGAC